CCATTAACTGTTTCACTTTGTTTCACTTTGCTGTCTAATAAAAGTCATTGTGAAATCTAGGGCGAGTTAGACAGACTTAAATACCCCCTTCCTCTTCCTCTTCTCCTTCCTCCTTTCACACTCACTTTTGAGAAGCAGTTTTTGTTACACAAGAGAACCCCGCAAATGGAAATGGCAGAGTGCTTTCCAGCACAGATTGAACAGCAGGATTAAAGCACCTGATCAACAACAGTGTACACTGCTGACGCACGGACACTGTAGTGTCCCTGTAGGGACAGCAACTGCTGAAACTTTATTCAACAGTTTGAACCTTGAAAGAGTTTCTGTTAGATAAAAACTGATGGAATTTGTCAATGTTCCAGTGATAATGAAAGCCACATGAATCAAAGGCAGACCTGAAATTTGAAATGTTGTTTTGTGTTTGTTGCTCTAAGTCCCTCCTCCACTTGCTATTCAAATCAAGTCACTCCCCCTTTTTATAATGGAACTACTTCCATCACATCAGGTTTGTGAAATTGTTGTGTATTGTTTTGTATCATGCTTTTGTATATTTATTTCTATAATCTTATTAATTAATTTATTTATTTAAAGCATACATACATTTTAAACATTTTAAAATGCAAGATAACAGGTGCAAAACATTAGTCACAAGACCTGTTCATTCAAATGATAAAGTAAAAATAAAAAGTCATTGGCCCTTTTGAAAAACAATAATGATAACTGAACTTTCATTTGTCTAAGGAGATACTGAAAATGATTCTTGTTAGGTCTGTTGTAGCATGCACCTCTCAGAGTGATGTAATGTACTGCTGAATGCCACTATCTACTTAGAAACGAGAAATGAGGAACCAGAAAAAACCACATGAGAAACACATATGTAATATGTTTCTCACAAGTAATGCATCAAAGATCTGTGCTGTAGAGCTCCAGCTCACATTTATATCAGACCTGAGTCTGCAGAGAGAAGATGGAGGAGCACAGGGTTCATGTCAAAAGGAACAGGAGAAACTCTGGAAGTGTCTCTGATTCACAGACTGCCACCGAACCAGGTAAGACTTTATTTTAAAAGGCCCATATTACTCTATTTTCTGATCTGTTATAATGTTGTATCCTCATCAAAAACACACGGTTGTGTTCTGTTGCATTCACACATATTTAACACACAAATGCTGCATATTTAAGCTGAGTTCTCTCAAATTGAAAACACTCTGTTCCACCTTGTGATGTCATGTGGTAATCCAGGTAGAGCCCCACTGTGTTTTTAATCTCCATACACCTTCACTTGAGTAAAACTGGATGATTTCAGACCTGGAATTGTCAGTCTCTAATGAACTAAAGGTAAAAGCTGTTAAGATGAAAACTCCCACGACATCACCAGGTGGAACAGAGCATTTGGAGCTTTGGAGATGTAAATTAATAATTCAGGTTCACTCAAACACAGATAGAGACTTTATTGAGGAAATTAAAAATTTCGGCAGTAGCAACAATGAAACAAACATAACAACATAGCAGTTCATCCTTTTGCTTTTATCAGTTAAAGGGATGTGTGTGGGACAGCAGCCTGTTCCCAAAGGTGCTGTCCTGTGTGTGAATGAAACAAAACACAACTTTAAGTATGTTTATAATGAGGAAACAACATGGCTTAAAGCTCACAAAGTCAATTTGTATAATATAGGAATTTAAAATGTTCTTTCCTCTCTGATCTTTAACATTATGTTTGTAGGGAAATGGATTCTCCTGGTCTGCATCAGCTTTGGTCTTCTGTGCATCATACAAGCTTCTCTCAATGTTTATTTACATCTCTGTGAGTCACATAATGAAGTAAAACAATATTAATAATCACAGCCACAAAGAAATAAATCACTTTTGGATTTGTAGACCTTCCTCCAGACATCGACATGAGCCCATGTGACAATGTAACTGCTGAGAGGGACACACTTGAGAAATGTAAATCTCTTTAACTTTTACTCTAAATTTTTTTTATTAGCAAAACAAGAATACATGTAATGAGACACAAACAAAATTATTTCTTCACGCCTATGCTTTTTCTTTTCACTAACCATTACAGTTCTTCAAACTAGTCGTCAAGACCTGTCGAAGCAAACTGATGAGCTGCAGAAAAGCCATTCTTGTGAGTAAAATGAGGAACTTGAGACACATGCTGCTCAAATGTTCTGTTACAAATGTCACAAATATGAATGAGATTTTTTAGACCATCTTAACAATTTCACTGCCATATAATGGAGATGACCCAGATAGCAAAAATATACACTGGCCGCTCTGGAAAAGAGTGACTTTCAGAGCTGCAACAAGCCTAAACTGTAGATACATAGACACCAAGCCACATTCCTTTACTTTAGTATGTTTAGTGACTGTTGAACGCTGCCTTGACCTCATCCGGTGTCCTGTTGATTTGAGCTATTTAGCGCTATTGCACATGTGCATGTCCCCAAGTGCTGTTTAAATGCTCATCAGTTTCAGCTCCCGAGGCACAGATGAGATAAATTTCCCTTCCTAGATCATGTGTAAATATTTTTGAAATAAATGTTTGTTATGTTTACTCTGTTGTCCCTTGTTCTGTCCTCACCCATCATGATTAAAAGCCAAGTCCATTATTATTGGTGCTAAATAACAAAATTGAATTGCAGGAATTGTCCCCTCTTCAATGTCCCCAGTGTCACAGGTATGCACCCTCTAGTGGATGCATTATTTGGGAGAAGATATTAGTTGTTGTTGCGCCGGAAGTGGAAGTTCACAAAGTAGATAAACCCCGCCCACAAAACCCGGAAGCGTGATAATAGTCTATTATGAACCCATAAATCTAGACCAGAACAACCACAACTAAACTATAACCACAACCAGGCCTAGACTGGTAATAGGGCATACTGGGCATTTTCCCAGTGGACCAACAGTCTTCAGGGGTCGATGTTGTTGTTGGTTTTTTTGTTGTTGTTTTTACTTAGAGACTGGCCCACAATTTAGAGGGGGCGGCCCATTGGTCCATCTTCAATATAGACAGAGGACTAAACCAATCAGGATATATTAGCCTACGAAAGTGGCCCCACCCCCTTCCCTGCACTGATCCCCGCCAGTTTCATAGTGTTGAGCGTGAAACATGAAGAAAGCTAAGCGAAAGAAAGGGGAAAGAGAAGTTGTGGGCTAAGTGATTGAAGAATCTCGCTATAGACACGCTGGAGGGGCTGCTGTAGCCTCCATTTCCTCAGTGCAGGGTGTTGCAAGTGAAGACAGCAGCAGTGGACAGAGAGAGGAGCAGCCAGACATTATTATACATGAAGGGCAATAACATCAACGGGAAAGATGTTATTGTCCTTCTTCCTACGGGATTTGGGAAAAGCTTAATATAGCAGTTTGCCCTGTTAGCGGCGCATTACATATGTTACAGCCAAAAAGCAGCGATTAAAAAAGTACCTGCCTACTGTTGAGTGAACAAATCCTAATGCCACCACGTTAACCAGGCTAGCATTCCCCAGGACAGTTCATTGAACAATTTTGGATTTGTAGACCTTCCTCCAGACATCGACATGAGCCCATGTGACAATGTAACTGCTGAGAGGGACACACTTGAGAAACGTAAATGGAATTATACATCATCTCTTTAGCCTTTACTCTAACAACTTTTAATGAGCAAAACAAGAATACATGTAATAAAAAACAAACTAAATTATTTCATTACACCTATGCTTTTTCTTTTCACTAATCATTGCAGTTTTTCAAACTACTAGCCAAGACCTGTCTAAGCAAAAAGATGAGCTGCAGAAAAGCCATTTGTGAGAGTAAAATGAGGAACTTGAGACACATGCTGTTCAAATGTGGTATTACAAACACTGTGCTCTTTTTCAGCCTTCAAAGAGTGTCAGCAATCTCTGTCCAGCTCAAGAAATGAACTGGAGAAACATCAGTCCTGTAAGTAAACTGCCACTGTTTAACTGTGAATGTTTGGTCACAGTTTATTCAGCTGACCTGCCATGAACTCAGCGATAAAAAAAAAAAAAAAAAGTTCTGAGATTCGTTTATCAGATGTGGATGTGATTTTGTGAGCTTCAGGTAGCCTAAGCAGCACTGACCTCAATACATCAAACTTTGCTTCATGAAAACTATTTGTGATTGTCACAAGAACTTTGCTCTGTGCAAAGATGGACAAAAAACAAGCTCCAAATTACCCTGGCGAAGACTGAGCTGTCACTGTCAACACAAACGGAGTGAGTGGATGAGGTGGAGACTCATGTAGGAACCAATAAAGACAACTGAGATGATGCACAAGCCCACATGTGTAAACAGGAGAAAGAAATCGCTAAAGATCATGAATATTCCAGAAAAGCCCCAAAGCAATTACATGGTTAACTATGTGGAGTATCTCATCCACTGAGGCTGAGAAAAGCAGAACAAACACGTGAAAAGTGTTTGCAAATGTCCGGGTTTTCAGTACCGTTCATTGGGGGCATTAAACTGAGCGTCTCTCGTAACGTCTGTGACTCAGAAGGAGCGAGACACAAACATTCGGTCAGTCTGAAACATACCGAAGCACAAATGCGCATTAACAATGACTTGTACAAGAAATTCTCCGTTTTCCGTCACGGTCGGGATAAGTGGGAGTCCATGTGCACAGGTTGTGAGGAGAGAGAAATCCGCGAAGTAGTCAACATTATATTTTACAATGATTCTATCTGTTTTAAGTCTGTAAAACCCCTCAGCACACACTTATACACTTTTCTCACACAGGACAGGTGCAACTCTTTTTACATCCTTCTTAAAACTTATCGCTGCTGCCGTTATGTCGTAATTTTCCACCTTCTTTATGTAACGAACCCAAGATTCATTTATTCCGTAATAGAGCCGACAGCGCAGAGTCCTGCACGGGTCCAGTTTTGGAGACCTGCAGTACAGGACCGCACCTGCCCATTAACTCGAGATTACATCAAACTTTTGCGCTGCCTACGCCATGAACTGAACCAAGACTAAACCAGGACTAACCCAGGACTGATTCCAGGACTGAAGAGGAGCACTAATCCACGACTGAACTAGGACTAAACCAGGACTGAAATAGGACGCACTGTCAGGACGGGCTCGGAGGTGACGCAGGAGAAAGGACCGGCTCAGCTCCGCACCTCACGGAGTTAAATGCGGCAGTTGCCCGATCGCGCTTTGCGGACAAACTGCTCGGCGTTCTCTCTCTTAAGTCCAAGATTAGTCCTGGTTTAGACCTGGTTTAGTCCTGACCCACCCATGTGTAATTACTACCCGCCCGTAATACACAATACGCGTTCATGTATGTTCTGTATCATCTCTATTTTCAGATAACTATGCGTCTGAATGTTGGGTGTATTTCCAAGGCAGTTTGTACCTGGGCTCCACCACAGAGCAGAGTTGGCAGGAGAACTGGCAGTACTGCCAGGAGAGAGGAGCAGATCTCATCATCATCACAAGTGTCCAGGAGCAGGTCTGGAGCTAAACACCACACTGTTCCCACAAAAGAATGTCACAATATAAAATGTTTGTGTTTATTGTGAGAAGATTAAGCTTGATGCTAATGCTAACTTCTATTAAAATCTACCATAACAACAAAATGAAATATGTAGTAAAGACGTGATTATTTTTCTGTGTTTGATAAGTATTAATCTCAGAAATTTGCATTAAGACACAAAGATTGGTCTTTCTAAACACAAGTGTCCCCTGATGAAGTATTCACATGTCAGTGTCATCCACCCACAGCTCACGGTCCACTGTGTGACCTGTCAGTATTTACTGACACAATCCTAAGATCGAAGCTAACTGGGTGCTGTTGTGCACAGCCTTTTGTATCATAACTCACACTCCAGTTTGGTGTGAGTCCCAGAGGAATGGCACATGTTTTATTGAGGTTAAATGCTTGTTTCTCACAGCTGAAGACTTAAGATCCCTGAATGTGGCTTGAACTGTTTCTACAGACATTTGCGAGTACATTCAGCGGGCACCGATGGATTGGACTGAATGCAACCCAGTCTGAACCTAGAGAGTGGAGATGCGTGGACGGCTCTCAGCTCAACACAAGGTTGAGCAACATTTTAAACCAACATTGAGTTTCAGAAGTGCTTTTAAACATTTATTTCATGTCTTTCAGTTTTTGGTACAGTGGAGAGCCAAATAACCAATACAATGTTGAGTTCTGTGTTGAAACCAACTTCGGAGGCATCGGGAACACCTGGAATGACCTGAGCTGTTCTGAAAAGCGTCTGTGTATCTGCCAAAAGAGGCCGACATTTTAAGGCTCATATCAATATTTACTTCATCATCAAATGACTTATGTTGCTTATGTTTCATCACAGTGGTAGTAGTTGTAGTACTGGAGCCAAGAAAAAGCAAAAGTATCACATGAAAAAAATATATGCTGGTCAAAATGAAACAAAGACAAAATATGTTTATTTTATTACAAAAAGTATAGTATAGAAATGTAAAATAAATAAATGTAAAAAAAAAAAAAAAAAGATGTTTGGTTTGGTTCTATGTGATGCAATAGTGTTAAGCCAACAGTCCATAATAATGTTAAATGGACATGATGAATAGAGCCACATGTCAAGTCTGTCTGCAGGGACCACTGTGTCACAATAAACTCTCTCATACAAGCTCTGGACTGAGAGTGTAGAGCTGATTTGACTTTAGACCCACTTCCACTCTCACTCTCATCTCTCACTTCACTTGTGTAGCTTCAGCATTTTTCAATCATCTGGGCTCTGCACAAACACACTGTGGAGTTTGGACACATTTAACACACACACATACACACACACACATTAGACTAACAAACTGTTCATGTCAAAGCAACATTTTATGGGGTAGAATTGACCCAAATGAGTCGTGTGCAACAAGTGACCACTATTCCATTGTTCAAATCCTACATGCTCTTTATGTTCCTGTGTATTTAGTGTAGCATTTTGACCTTTGGACATCTAGACAGTCTAATAATAACCTGTTATTCAAACATGTGAATGAAACAAAACACAACTTCAGGTCTGTTTCTGATGAGATTCAGATTCAGTTTATTGTCATTGCATTGTCATTGTCAAAAATGATTGATGTTTTGTTTTTGTTGTTCTAAGTCCTGCTTTAATATGAAAACACATGTCTGAAAGCAGCACAACCATCGAAAAAGCTATGAAAGGAAGCGGACAGACCATTTGGAATTATTTAATAATAATATAATTAACATCGTCTGTGATTCAGATATTTTTTTAGGCCAGCAGAGAAGGCCTTGCGGGCCCTGACGGCACACCACTGGTAAAATACAGTCATATTGTTATTAAATGTGGGAAGAGACACAGTTACCACAAGATGAGACCTGATATTGGAAGCGGGAAAGAGACAAGATGAGATTTTGAAATGATTTGAAATGACTAAATTGTGCAGTTCAGTTTACAGTTTTGTCCACAGATTTTTTTTTAATTTTATTTTATTGTGAGGAAGGATGTGCTTCCTAGCTGATTTTGTGTATTGGATCGCTAAGGTGGAACCCACAGCAGGTGATCGGTAAAAATCACTGAGATGCTCACTTGATTGGAGATAATTTATTTGAGGCTGTCTGATTGTGATGAGTTGTGTGTGTCTGTGGTTCTGAAACAACAAGAAAATATAAACAATAATGAGTAATGAAATGTACACAATATGAACATAAGAAATTATACAAATAATATGCAACAACTGAAAAACCTTAACAAATATGGTAAAACTGACATAAATTACTATATTTGGCAGTGTCAGCTTCACCAGAAGGGCAGAAATAAAAGAGCTCTATCTGGTGGTCACAAAAATGAGCGGGCATGTCTCCCTCTGGTGGCCATGAAGGTAAATACAATAGCTGCTCGAGACCTGACTAATGACAGTGTGACAAGGCGCTTTGAGCCTACAACCAACTAAGATGCATGCAGTGTGTTGCTTGCATAACTGGAAAATTAGCGCTTGAATAAGAATGCTTGTTACCAGGAATATAAATACACACTGAACAATGTGAGGTAAAAAACATAAATATATAATGTGGAACAAGGCTTAAGGTAAAGTAGGCCCAAGCTAACAACAAAGCACAACAAAGAACAGATAATATGAAGTAACAACTCGCTCTCATTTACACACATTAAACAACGAACACTTACTTGCATTTGACGCACACAATGCACACAACAGAGGGCAGCAGAAAAGGCAGGTAATAATAGTCCACGCTACTAAACCCTGGTGCTTGCAACAGACTCTCCAACAGACTAATAACTAGCTGCAGGCTGAAGAGTCCAAGGTGTCTTATGATTGGATAAAAGTCCAGGTGAAGTGAGGTGCACGGCAAGTGAGGACAGACAGTTAGTGTCTGTGGCACGCAGCGGCCACAAGGGGGCCTTGTCTACATTTATTGAATTAATTGATACTGCAGCTTCTCAAGAGGCATAACCAGAACTGTTGTCCAATCCAAATGCAAACACATGGAAAAAATAAACCTCACAAGATCATTTTCTTTATCTGTGTGCAATCTTGTAGCAATTTTGTCTTGCGAGATCTTATCCTATGCCTAATTACTATAAAAATATATAATAATAATAATGATAAAATTATGTGAAATAAAGAGAATAATTTGATCTCTTGAAGTCAATCAAACCTGTCTGACTTTTTCTGGCAAGTAGCATTTTTAAATGTTTTAAGGTAGATCCAACATTCATATTGTTTTTTACACCACCTATAAATTTTTTCTACCAGACCGTCAAATCAAAATGCAACAAATCACTGAAGAAAGTGACCTGAAGAAACTGCTGGAGGAGGCAAAAGAAAGACGATACTTGCTAAAACTAATTCTTTGTAAGTAAAATGATACAGAGAATAGAATGAATTTTGACAGTAATAACCTCTTCCCCCTCATCCCCCCTCCCAGTAATGGAAACCAGAGTCCTACAAGTTGTTGAAGAACGAGAGCAAGTGAGGCAAAAACTTCAAGATCTAAGTAAGTGCACAGTCTGCCCAAGTGGTAAATATTATATAGTAAATTCATTAGTTTGTCCTGAATAGCTTTAGAATGATCTTGAGCTGTACAAGTATAAGAGCACATAAGCCTCGTTTCTATGGGGCGAGTACGGGACAGGGTTATAGTCCCAAGCGGACTGCTGTTGGTGGTTTTCTGTTCCCCAGTCTCAAAGTGAAATAAAAAATCAGGAGACAATCCGTTATTTGTTTTCACAACCATGGATCTGTTCCAACTGAATACATAGACTGTGTATATAAATGGACATAGTTAACCATATAGGAAGTGTTCACAGAGGTGCTTCCAGCTCCTTCTGACCCTGGCTCCAGTGGAATACTCTCACCACTCTCTCTGTAACTGTTGCAGTGAGTCTCGTCATGTCGGTCTTAAAATGTCTGGGAGGGGTGTGGTGTGGTATATTTTTTTGTTTCTATTGCCATGATGCATATGTGTACCTGGTTCACTGAATAGGTATTAGTCTCTTGCCAGTAAAGAACTATATATTATATACATCATTTGTATTTCCAGATAATCATTCCCATGAAGGTTGGGTGTATTTCCAAGGAAGTTTGTACCTGGGCTCCAGCACAGAGCAGAGTTGGCAGGAGAGCAGGCTGTACTGTCAGCAGAGAGGAGCAGATCTCACCATCATCACCAGTGTCCAGGAGCAGGTCTGGACAATTGTACTGATAATGTGATTTGAGCTTTAAGCCTTATTATAGTGCTGTTACTTCATCATTTTATTCACACACTGTTGTTTCTCACAGAAAATGACTTTTGCCCAATAACTGTGTTCACAATGAATATGTTTATTTCAGTGTCCAGTCCCACTGCTGCTATCAGAATGTATGTGAACAATGAAATCACAAACCCACTAAACTGTTACAAACATAGATATTATTTTCATTTTAAAATGTAGCACTCAAAACATGTTTAAACTGTTAACAACAAATACACTGCATATGTCCACTGTAAACTAATACTCATTTTCTTTTAAAGGAATTTGCATATTCAACTTTTAAGGAGCGCAGATGGATTGGACTGACTGACCTGGGGCAGGAGGGGGTGTGGAAATGGATGGATGGCTCACGACTGACCCTGCATAAGAAGATTTTTTTATTTATTTTTTCTCAAACCCCTATCTTACATTGATCTTGTGCATGTCGTGCCTAAGCTCATACGAGTCAGATGTGCTTTTTTTTTATCTTAAAATTTGACTTCAGCGCACATCCTGCAGCTTTCACTTCCTGCCATCTACATCCTAAATCATAAATAAGTTTTGATTAAGTCATTTAAACCTTTGTCAAAGTGAGTGCTGTGACACCTTTGGGTTCTGCAGAGTGACTGCAGGGGTGATATGGGAAATAGTTTGATGGAATTTGTTTTAGGCAAATTACATGAAATAATCATTGTACATCATATAAATAATATATGTGCAAAAGATTTTTGCTGAGGGGTGCAGCATTCAGTACACAGTGACCAGCTGTGCTGTCTCTGCAGAGCGTATGGGATAAGAGCAGTAGAGCAAATACTCACAACAGAAGAGATTTAAACAATTTGTCACTTTTTATTTCATGTAAAAGGATTCAAACCAACCCAGTGAAATCTGTTACAGATATATAAATGGAACGATCTTAAATTAAGCCTGGAAGACCAAACTTTGCTCCCATTTCCCAGTGTTTACCTGGTCCTCAGCCTTCATCAGCTCACTCCAAATACTTCTCCCGTCACTCACCACACCTCCTCTTTGTCCAGTCAGTGTTCAGTCTGCCCAGTTCATTGTAGATGCACAGCTGCTTCGGTCACACAACCTCAGCTTCTCATCCTCTCATCGTCCACTTCACTCTCCTCATCCTCTTATTGTCTTATTATTAGAGACAGATCAGCAGCAAAAGCACAATGAAATTATTTACAACAAGCACAGAATTCATTTAAAATTCAGTGACAAAGGCAAAATAAATGCTTTCAAAGTCAAAATACTAGCCTTCATCACCCAATTTGAGAAAGACTATATATAGAATACAGGAAGTATCCTTGTGGCTAGATGCTGACAGATCAAAACTACAAGATGATGAACACAGATCACTGCAGCAACAACATCAAAAGCATCTGCTCATCTGCTCCTCTTTGGGCTGCAGTGAGGACATGATGGACGAGTCTGTGGTCAGGGGCAGAAAGTACTCGGGCCCTGCTCAAACTCAAGACACACGCACACAGTTAAGTAAGATACTTTCAATACTGTATTTATTTATTTATTTTTATTTTATTAGTATTATTATTATTATTTTTTTTGCATTTTGCTCTCACATTAATTCTGCTTTTAAAGAAAAATGGATTCCACTGGTCTTCTTCTGCTTTGGACTTCTTTGCACTGTACAAACTGTCAACATTTACCTTCGCATCGGTGAGCAGTAAAACATAAATATACACTACTACTACTACTACTACTACTACTACTACTACTACTACTACTACTACTACTACTACTTCTACTACTGCTACTACTAATAATAATAATAATAATAATAATAATAATAATAATAATAATAATATCACTTCCAGGATTTTACTCAAGATGTAAGATTGCAGCATCAGACCTGGATTATTTTAAGACAAGTAAGTTTTACTGATGGCTTATGGTTTCTGTGGTAAATATTAAGGTAATAGTGTCAGGAAACATCCAAAAATGTACTGCTTTTTTTTTTTTTTTAATGATTTGTTATTTGTATATACATATATATATATATATTTATATTTGTTGTTAATAAACCAAATATTTGAGGAACTGTCACTTGAAATGTCCCAAAATCTCCTCCCCACTGAGCTGAGGGGTCTGTTCAGTTAAAGAGGAGAAGATATTTCATGTTTACTTGAATGACCAATAAAAAATAAACTATAATAAATAAGCTAAACTAAACTGTGTTCACACTGACCACAGCGGTAATATTGTTCATGGAGCACAGTGGCTCAGGACAAAGAGCAGCTCACATGTTTCTGAGCTGAAATACTGTAGTGCTGTGAGTCTATGACCCCTGGACCTGTTTCTTCTAGTAAGTCTAGTCTTTTTGGTTGTTTTATTCCTTTTTGTGTTTTCTCTGACTTTATGTGTCCTTTTCAGACTTATCATTAACTTCTCAAAATGATATATATGCAGTAGTATTTTGAACTGTAAATAAAAAAAAAAAAAAAAAAAAAAGTATTCATAAGTGAAAAAAGTTGGAAAAAAAGAGCTCTGTGCTGATAAATCCTGACAAATTATAACCACAAGATATTTTTCTGTTAATTTAATGTTAACATTCATTTAGTACAATTAATGTGTTTATTTCAGTTAATTGATTAATAATAACATGTGGGTAAACTAGTTGGGCTTTGTACAGTACGCTTCCTAGGTGACCTCCTCCACCTTAAAGCAGCTCTCCATGTCTAAACTGGGAGAAAAAATGTATAATTCTCCAAAAAAGTCAATCTATGATTTGGTGAGATAGTAATGTTAATATGATGATGTGTATGTGGCAGTGTACTGCATCACCATGTCTGATAAAATGATTCTCTATGTTTCCACCAGCAGAGGTGGGTAGAATATCCTCAAATTGTACTAAAGTCAGAGTAACATTACTTCAAAATAATATTACTCAAGGAGAAGTACATAGTCCAAGAAATTATTCAAGTAAGAGTTAAGTATTTGGGCAAACCACATCTCAAATAAAAACAACTTAAAGAGTAACATTTCACCAGAAAAAAACTTATTTGAAACTGCAACAGATGAGCTCATTTGTTCTGTTCAAGAAGTCTTTTACACATACAATTAGAGTCACAAAGTAGTTTATATTAGCCAACAGTTTTTCAGTCACTCTCAACTTTTTTTTTTTATTTGTAATTGAAAATCAAACTCTTAAACAGGACCATGGAGCATATTTAATAAGCAGGTGCTCCCTTTTTCCACCGCAAATCTAAAATGTAAATGAGAGTTTAGAGTCTGAGCAAAAGGACTGTCCTGTTTTTATGATAACTTTGAAAACTTTGTATCAGTAGATTTTTCTTTAATCATTTAGCCTATTACAGTTAACACTAGCTTCAATCATCAGCCTCATCCAGATGCAAATCCAAAGATACATAAAGGAGAACTAATAATAGTGAATTTATATAGCACTTTTCTAAACACTCAAATACGCTGTACAAAGAATACAATTTAAAAAGTACATATTTAAAAAAAATAAGATAAAGAGACAACATATAGGCATGATTCTTTGCAGGTTAGACATTAAAAGTGTTTCTAAATAGATGAGTTTTGAGCAATTTCTTGAAGGTGGAGAGTTCAGTACAGTCACGGATTTGCTGAGGTAGAGAGTTCCAGAGGGTGAGGGCAGTGAAGGAGAAGGCTCTGCCTTCTGTCTTCTCCCCAGGTTTGGAGCTTGATCCTGCAGGGGGAGGGGCAGGAGGTTGGCATCGAAGGAGCCATAACAATAATAACAATATTTATTATCTTAACAGAAACCTATCAACTCATTGAGGAAAGAGACAAACTGGAGACAAAACTGCAGAACATTGGTGAGTAGAAGTCTTCTCTAGTGGCTTCCATAAATGTTAGAACTTATACCACGAGAGGATATGATTGTCCAGTCATTGTGAACATCTCTAAAGGCTGTTGTGTGGAGAGACCACAGCTAAGAGCAGCTGCAAAGACAATAGAGGCGTCTCTTCTGGAGGTGTTAGTTGAAGGTCCTGCAGACAGGAGGCTCCACCAGACGTTCCCAAAAGACCCTGACGATAAGCTTAGGTCTGCCATGTCTTTCTGGCTTTTCTGTTTTTTCCTTTGCCAACAGTTGATCATCAACCTCTGGGTGAGGGTTTCCTGGTGCCACGTGCATTGAGGGACAACTTTATGCTTGAACATGGTTTGTTACTGACAAACTGTGACTAGCACAGAAGTCCATTAACAAACACAGCTCGGATTCAGATCAGGGGAGGACGTTCTTCCTGATCACCCCTCTCCAGGTGTCACTGGGGTTGCTCACGTGGGCGTTGAAGTCCACTTTTAGAACAACAGAGTCCCCAGTCAGTGCGCTGTCTAGTACCCCTCCAAAAAGGCCAGACACCCTGCACTGCTGTTTGGCTCTTAGACCAACACATCTGTGAGAATCCTGTCTCCCAATCCGAAGGTGCAGGAACACGATCCTCACATTCACTAGGAACTCCAACACATGACGGCTGAACGGTCTGGCTATAAGTAAGCCCACACCAGACCAACACCAGAGAATATCTAGCCAATACCTCTCAACCTCCTGCACAAGCTCAGGCTCTTCCCCCCCAGTGAGGTGACGTGCCACATCGCTACAGCCAGGTTCTGTGTCCATGGATCGGGTTGTCGAGGCCCTAGACTTCAACTGCCATCTAGTCCTCTTCACACCCAACTCCTGTGAAACCCTCTGTGGGTGCTGAGTCCACAGGAGGGTGGACTCATGTTGTCCTATAGTTATATATTTTGTTCTGAATGTTGCACTTTTTTTATTTTTATTTTTTTTCCGAGAAGAGAGGTCTTTCACATTTGAAAAGCATGTGATACAAATTAGCAGCTGTAGTTGGATTGTCCCAAATTAGGACAGAGATTGTTCACACTCTATGGTCAGGTTCTAGAGGAGCTTTATAACATTTTCATATATAAATATTTTATCTCAAATCTGTATTTTACATTACAAGGATCTTTGTTTTCAGATAACCATATGTCTGAAGGCTGGCTGTATTTCCAAGGCAGTTTCTACCTGGGCTCCATCACAGAACGGAGCTGGAAGCAGAGCCGTCAGTACTGTCAGGAGAAAGGAGCAGATCTCCTCATCATCAACAGTGACCAGGAGCAGGTCTGGAGCTAGAGACCAAAATAAAACAACAACATCTACTGTTTAACTACTGCTTTTGTTTCACAGGTATTTGCACATAGGATATTTAAGGGGCGCAGATGGATTGGACTGAGTGACCAGGAGGAGGAAGGGGTCTGGAAATGGGTGGATGGGTCACCACTTAACACAAGGTCTGTGCAGACTTTTATCAGTGGAATCAAAACCAATAACATTGCAATACACTGAGTAAATTGTTTTGTTTTCAGCTTTTGGAATTCTCAGGAGCCAAATGATAAAGGTGGTGAAGATTGTGGTGAATTCTATTTTTCCACCTTAGACAACTGGAACGACAATGATTGCTCTGAAATAGCCACATTTATATGTGAGAAAAAAATGGATTAATTTGCATGTACATATATGTTTCATATTTTCTACATTATGATGCCAAAAGGATGTATTTTAGCTGTGCAGTGATAACAAGCACATTTTTAATCCTTTGTCGTCCACTCAGTAAAGTGTCCTGTTTTTGAAGGTTGCATTTGCTGAAGCCTTTATTGAATCTGTTGAACACACATTTTCAGACACACATGAATAAAGTCTTGTAAAGTGTGTTTGTGGAAAAATGTAATTACTAAAAATTACTGGTTTCTGCTCTCCTCATGGTTCTTCTCTGTTCTCTGCTCTCATGGCTCTCCTCTGCTTTCCTCACAGCTCCTTTCCTATCATGGCTCTTCTATGCTCCCTTCAAGGCTCTTCTCTGTTCTCCACTTGGCTACTCTCTCCTCAAGGCTCATCTCTCTTCTCACAGCTCCTCTGTCTCCTCACGCCTCCTCTGTCTCCTCATGCTTCCTCTCTCTCCTCATGGCTCATCTCTTTATCTCACAGCTCCTCTGTCTCCTCGCTCATCTGTCTCCTCACAGCTCTTCTCTCCTCACAGCTCTTCTCTCCTCATGGCTCCTCTCTTTCCTCACAGCTCCTCTGTCTCCTCACGGCTCTTCTCTTTCCTCACGGCTCCTCTGTCTCCTCGCTGCTCCCCTGTTTCCTTGCCACTCCTCTCTCCTTACGCCTCCTCTCTCACCTCGATGCTATTCTGTCTCCTCACGGCTCCTCTCTCTCTTCATGGCTCCTCTCTTTATTCATGGCTCCTCTGTTTCCTCGTGGCTCCTCTCTTTCCTCACGGCTCATCTCTCTCCTCACGACTCCTCCATTACAATTAAAAAGACAATTCCCCAATTACGGCACAATGGGAATGACATGGGATCCGCTTACAAAGACAAAGATTGGAGTATGTTATTGAACTTTGTTCCAACAAAATGAGTATCTTCCAAACACAGATTAAATATAATCTATCACAGAATTTATTATCCTCCCACACAGACTAAGTAAAATAGGATGTGGTGTTTTAGACATGTCGCCTGGAATTCTTGTAAATGCTTTGGAGCTGTGTCAAACTTGCAATACTGGGATTACGTGGTCAAGATAACTTCTTTTTCCAGAACTCACAGCTACTTCCCAATTCCCCTGAATTGAACTTATAATCATGCGCAACATTTGAGCAAGATTAGTTTCAAAAGACTAATGCCTCAACATTTTTTCATTTCATAATTTCTTTTCCACAGTGCGATACAGCACTGTGGACTCATGTGAGTCATACATGCATCTTTATCTTAAAATTAGACTTCAGCACTCGCCCTGGAGCTTTCACTTCCTGCCTCCTACACTCTGACTTTTGACAGATGCATCTCTGTGACGTTTGCTTTGTTAAAGTGGGTGCTGCAAAACCTTTGGGATCTGTAGAGAGACTGCAGGGACGCCTTGGGAAATAGTTTGATGGAATTTGATTTAGGTTAGTTAGTGCATGTTCAATTAGCACCCAGTCTGCCCAGTTTAAACTCACATTACAGGTGCACGGCTGCTTTGGTTTGTTGGTTTGTGTCGCGTCACACCTTCTCCCCAATGCTTTAAAACGCAAACTCCAAATACTAGCCTTCAGTACACACAACACAGGAAGTATCAGTGACGTCCTTGGTGCTAAATGCTGACAGGTAAAAAACTACAAGATGATGAACACAGATCACTGCAGCATCAACATCAAAAGCGTCCGTTCATCTGCTCCTCTGTGGGCTGCAGTGAGGACATGATGGACGAGTCTGTGGTCAGGGGCAGAAAGTACTCGGGCCCTGCTCAAACTCAGGACACATGCACACAGTTAAGTAAGACACTTTGCAATACTGTAAGAGTTTGTAGTTTTTATTTTGACATTTTGCTCTTACATATTCATTCTGCTTTTGAAGAAAAATGGATTCCACTGGTCTTCTTCTGCTTTGGACTTCTTTGCACTGCACAGGCTGTCAACATTTACCTTCGCATCGGTGAGCAGTAAAACATCTGGATATTACACATAAACAGTGTTGGGGAGTAACAGATTACATGTACCGGTGTTACGTAATCAGAGTACAAACAAATTTTGAGTAACTGTATTCGGTTACAGTTATGTTGACAGTTTCAATGAGAGGTAATTGGATTACAGTTACTTTGTTGAAATAAATTGATTACATGGCGGTATTTTCCTGTTTTCACATTTTGGGCTAAACCAGGACTAAAACCAGGACTAAACCAGGATTAAACCAGGTTTAAACCAGGACTAAAACCAAAGCTAAAACCAGGACTAAACCAGGTCTAAACAAGGTCTAAACCAGGTGTAAACCAGGACTAAACCAGGTTTAAAACCAGGACTAAACTAGGACTAAAACCAGGTCTAAACCAGGACTAAACTAGGACTAAAACCAGGATTAAACTAGGACTAAAACCAGGACTAAACCAGGTCTAAAACCAGGACTAAACTAGGACTAAAACCAGGTCTAAACTAGGACTAAAACCAGGACTAAACAGGTCTAAAACCAGGACTAATCTAGGACTAAATCCAGGACTAAACCAGGTCTAAACCAGGACTAAACTAGGACTAAAACCAGTACTAAACCAGGTCTAAACAATATGACACATAACAGTAGGTGGACATAATTTAAGGCAGCAGTGATCTCATATAGAAATCATTTCTTTATCAATAATATTTTTAATATGGTTAAGGAAAGATTGGGCTTTTTATTTTCTTTTAGCAGATAAAACAAATCATCTCATGTTAAGATTTCCTAGTCTTTGCAGCAAACAGCAAACAAAAGCCTCTTCATGGAGACTTGGGCTCAACAGACAATTTGATGAGAACAAACAAGAATTTTCAGGATGTGGTTGTTACATTCATGTAGTTTTAAAAAACATGACAATATCAAGTAATCCAAAGTATTCAGATTACTTTAGTAATTTAATGGATTACGTTACAAACTACATTTTGGGGTATGTAATCTGTAATCTTTAGGGGAATAAATTTTAAAAGTAACCTTCCCAACGCTGCACATAAACAAATTTGAAACCAACAACATTGAAAAACAAACTGATATATTTTATAAGAAAGGAGTGGCTTATTTTGTAAAGTGTTCGATGCACCATGTCCAAGGGCTCTCTATGTTTCCACAAGATGAGGTAGAGCAGCCATTGTACTAGAATATTACTCATATAGCAGTACAAAGTAGTGTACGGTGGTGTAATAATCAGAATTTAAAATATTATTATTTTATATTATGCTTGTTCTGGATTCAATGTTTAAGCAAAACTATTATTAAACATCTATTTTAATAAGAAAAGGTTTAACATTAAATATCTCAAAAGAAGAGAAAACATGCAGATGTTGCTGAAATTTTTCAATAAATATTTAGTCTGGTCCCACGACTTAGTTTCATTTTTTAAATTTCGGCCCTCTGTGAATTTGAGTTTGACACCCCTCACATCGACCATCAGAAAGTTTATTGGTACTTTCACAAATGTTTAACCTAGTATTTTCAGTTATTGACTAAACCCAAGAACTACAATATCGTTAATCATTTTAACAATATTTATTTTAGCTGCCCTCCATCTGTATTTTAAAGCTTTTTAAAAAAATCTCAAATATACAGTGGAATATACAATAATTTAAACAATAACACTGAGAGAGGCTTAAGAATTCATATTCACAGCATGATGTCAATGCAAAGAATCAGCTTTGCCCTCCACAATGCCCTTGAATCAGTCTGGTAAGAACTACTTCATCTCCATCAAGCTGATCAGATATGAGAAATGTGCAGCAATGAGCAGACGGGATTGTCCAGTCATTGTGAAAATCTCTGAAGGCTGTTGTGTGTAGAGATCAGGTTATCAGTGCAGTGTAACACTTCCACATATGGAACCTCCATACTGAGAAGTGCTTCATTTACTCACATGGACGACCAAAACTACACACTGTGATAGAACTTTACCAAGACAGTTTCATATAGAAGTAATTGACAGGCAGATTAACCAATCAGAGAAACACATGGACTGTTCATGTCAAAACAAATAAACATAGCAGCGTTTATCTAAAAAAGAAAAATGTAAAAGAACTGACAGATTTCTGTGGGATCAACAAACTAGTCTTAAATGTACAGAAGGTACATTATAGTCATAGAGACATTGGATTAAATTATAATTGTTATATTTTGCAGTGCTTGAAACCAGGGTCCATGAGATAACTGAAGAAAGAGACAAACTGAAGCTAAGACTGCAGGTGATAGGTGAGTAGAAGTCTGCTCTAGTAAATCTAGGCTGCCATAAAAACAAAAAAATGTATGTATGTATAATAACAAAATATAATGAAGGTAAGTAAGAGTGCATTCACACTGCAGGTGCCTCAAATCTCCTCCATGTTCTGGAGATTGAGCTGGGAGACACATTAAATCTCCTTGCAACAGCACGTCCGGATGTGCCATCCAGGAAAAGCTGGACAATCTGTGCAGCTTCTGTAGGGTTAAGGAATGTCCTCATACTCTTGGTAGTGATAATCACTCTAGCCAAAAGCCTAGTGGAAAACCAGCCAAAAAACGACCAAGAGGGAGAAACTTGAAATGACCTCCATATACAAAACCAGTCCTGTTTTAGGGGTCACTGGTGCTGCTCTAGTTCTATTTCCATTGAAACAGGAGGCATATGTCCATATTTGTATAGATATTAAACTGATTTTTTTCACATTAAGATCTGATGTGTTTTCAAAGTGTTCCTTTAATTTTTGTCAGCACTATATAATATAAGAGGTCGTAAGGAAAAACCATCAGTGATACAGGTGAGAATAGTTCCTCAAGTACACTGCAGATACTTCCTGTGTGTCTATAGACAGTTTTCTGTTTGTGGAAGATGTTTTCTGAGCTACATTTTGAGAAATAATAACATTTAGAGATAAATAGTAAGATTTTAGTCTTACGTTTAAAAATCATTTAAGACTCAAAGATCCTGAAGTGTGTGGTGGGCTTTAGGCTCCCAATTTTGTCTCACTTCAGTGTCTGTATCATCTCTATATTCAGATAACTATGCGTCTGAAGGCTGGATGTATTTCCAAGGCAGTGTGTACCTGGGCTCCACCACAGCACGGAGTTGGCAGGAGAGCCGTCAGTACTGTCAGGAGAGAGGAGCAGATCTCACCATCATCACAAGTGTCCAGGCGCAGGTCTGGAGCTAAACACCACACTGTTCCCACAAAGGATGTCACAATATAAAATGTTTGTGTTTATTGCAAGAAGATTAAGCTTGATGCTAATGATGAAGTATATTGAAATGTCAAATCTATCATGACAACAAAATAAAATATGTAGTAAAGATGACCTGATTATTTTTCGGTTTAGATTATTTCAGTTTGTGGCGTTTGATATGTACTAGTCTCAGAAATTAGCATTAAGACACAAAGATCCACCCACAGCTGTCGGTCCACTGTGTGACCTGTCAGTATTTATTGATTTTAGAGCCAATCTGCAAAAACCGTCGAGTCCCCAGAGACCGGAGCTAACAGGTGCAAAACTCACTCTCCAGTTTGATATGTGAGTCCCAGAGGAATGAGACGTGTGTTATTGAGGCTAAATGCTTGTTTCTCACAGCTGATGACTTCAGATCTCTGAATGTGTCTTTAACTGTTTCTACAGACATTTGTAGGTACATTTCGTGGGCGCAGATGGATTGGACTGACTGCAAATCAGTCTGAACCAAGAGAGTGGAGATGGGTGGACGGATCTCAGCTCAACACAAGGTTCACACAGCAACATTTTAAACCAACACTGAGAAGTGATTTTAAGTTCTTATTTAATGACTTTTTTTCAGTTTTTGGGCCAGTGGAGAGCCAAATAACGAATACAATGAAGAGTTCTGTGCTGAAACCAACTTCAGACATGCCTTGAACAGCTGGAATGATGAAAGCTGTTCTTACAGGCTTCTGTATATCTGTCAAAAGAAGCTGCCATTTTAAGGCTCATATACATGTACATATAATACATTAAATGTATTACATACAGACATCGGAGTGTACCTGTAGTGTATCACAGGGGTCAATAGTCTGCCCAAAAGTGTTCATACTTTATATTAATGGCCTCTGTACAGTGTCCAGATTTTTTTTTTTTTTTTTTTTTTTTTGCTGATGACACAAACATTTTTTGTTCTGGGGAAAAATTGCAGCAGGTACTAGAAACCGTATCAGACAAAGTTAATAAACTGATATTCTGGTTTGGCTCAGTTATCCTTAAACATAAGAAAAAAACTAATGTATGCTATTTGGAAATCATAAAAAAAGACATAGAAAAAGTATCTGAAATCAAATATTTGAAGAAGTTTTAGATTTCATCCATGCATGTTTGAGTATTTTAGCAATCTCTCTCTGCCTTATTGAACCCTCCTTGTGGCTAAGCAATAAGATTCTGTGAAATGTTCAGAAGACTGTGGTGAACTGAATTTGAAAGATGTAAGTCTCTGAAATCAAATTTTTGAGTGATTCTAGACCACAAAGTTGGAAATCACATGTAAATGCTCTGTGTGGTTGGTGTGTTATTCAGATGCAGATTGATATTAAACCCTAAAATGTTACATTCTCTGTACTCTGCTCTTGTGTGACCATATTTCAATTACTGCACTGAAGTATTAAGGACAACGCACAAGTTTACTTTACAGAGATTGTACTTCTTAGAAAAAAGAGGCATAAGAATATTAAATCAGACAGAATATCGGGAAAATACAAACGTTTTATTGATGAAATCACAATGTTTAACACTAAATGATATTGTTAAACTTAAAATTGCCTGACGGGAAGAACTAACTACATTGAAACTACTCTGAAACTAGCATAGCTACTTGTTGACAGTTTCAGACTCAAAGTGGGGCTAGGCTGAGTCTTACAAAGCTAACTTTTAGGCACTTTGAGTATTTAAACATTTTAAAATGTATATGTTGTGAAAACAGAAAAGAGTCCCTACACAATTTTACCTTTGTGAAAGTTGCTGATTAGCCAGGCTGGCGCCACCTAGTGCCTCTGCTCAATTTAATTTCTCTCCAGCAACGAGTTCAGGAATCAAAATACAATTTTTTTTTTGCAAAAACACCGGAAGTGCGAGTTCGGGCACCAGCCAAACAGCGAAGAGACATATATTCTGTGTTGTCAACGATTCCCAAGATCAAGGATTTAAAGCCGGAATAAAGAGAATGTTTGGTGAATTTCATCAAGGGGAAAGACGTTATTGCCCTTCTTCCTACGGGATTTGGGAAAATGTATACCAGTTTGCCCCGTTAGCGGCGCATTACATACGTCACGACCAAATAGCAGCGATTGGTTAAATTAAAAAAGTACCTGCCTACCGTCGAGTGAACAGTGCTGCCAGGTCAGCCAGTTTCCACAAAGTAAAAACGACTGATGAATCAGGCTAGCATTCCCCAGGAACACATACATAAATTAGTCAGATGTGCTCAGCTGATTATGAGGGGCCGGTCTAAGACAAAAGTACCAGGGCTGTTTTTTTGTTCCAGTCCAGCCCTGACCACAACACTAGGTTATGTTTTGTTGATGAAACTGAGTACACTTTACACATCATCTTTCTATAAATACAACTATAACAAAAGTTGTTGAAGAGGAAGTTATGGCTTTTAATATCTGAAGAGGATTTTCCTTTCTAAAGCAAACATGTAATTCTTTCTAATTCTTGAGAAACTTTTCACAAGTGCAATGCAAAATTGTTTTGAAAATCAGTCATGATAATTGAACTTTAATTTGTGTAAGGAGATACTGCAGTGAAAGTAATTCTTGTTAGTTCTGTTGTAGCATGCACCTCTCTGACTGAGATGTAATGTACTGCTGAATGTCACTGTCCACTTTGAAAAACCACAAGAATAACACATACATCATAGTCCTATAAGTAATGCACAAAAGATCTGTGCTGCAGAGCTCCAGCTCACATTTACATCAGAACTGAGTCTGCAGAGAGAAGATGGAGGAGCACAGGGTTCATGCCAGAAGGAACAGGAGAAACTCTGGAAGTGTCTCTGGCTCACAGACTGCCACCAAACCAGGTAAGACTTAATTTAAAAGGCCCATATTACTCTATTTTCTGATCTGTTATAATGTTGTATCCTCATCAAAAACACACAGTTGTGTTTTGTTTCATTCACACATATTTAACACACAAATGCTGCATATTTAAGATGAGTTCTTCTCTCAAAAAACACTCTGGTCCACCTTGTGATGTCATGTGTTTTTAATCCCCATACACCTTCACTTGAATAAATCTGGATGATTTCAGACCTGGAATTGTCAATCTCTACAGAACTAAAGGTAAAAGGAGCTGTTAAGATGAAAACTCCCACGACATCACCAGGTGGAACAGAGCATTTGGAGCTTTGGAGATGTAAACTAATGATTCAGGTTCACTCAAACATAGATAGAGACTTTATTGAGGAAATTAAAATTTCGGCAGTAGCAACAATGAAACAAACATAACAACATAGCAGTTCATCCTTTTGCTTTTATCAGTTAAAGGGATGTGTGTGGGACAGCAGCCTGTTCCCAAAGGTGCTGTCCTGTGTGTGAATGAAACAAAACACAACTTTAAGTATGTTTATAATGAGGAAACAACATGGCTTAAAGCTCACAAAACTCCATTTGTATAATATAGGAATTTAAAATGATCTTTCCTCTCTGATCTTTTAACATTATGTTTGTAGGGAAATGGATTCTCCTGGTCTGCATCAGCTTTGGTCTTCTGTGCATCATACAAGCTTCTCTCAATGTTTATTTACGTCTCTGTGAGTCACATAATGAAGTCAAACAATATTAATAATCACAGCCACAAAAAAATAAATCACTTTTGGATTTGTAGACCTTCCTCCAGACATCGACATGAGCCCATGTGACAATGTAACTGCTGAGAGGGACACACTTGATAAACATAAATCTCTTTAACTTTTACTCTAAAACCTTTAATTAGCAAAACAAGATTATATGTAATAAAAACAAACTCAATTATTTCATCACACCTATGCTTTTTCTTTTCACTAACCATTGCAGTTCTTCAAGATAGACGCCAAGACCTGTCGAAGCAAAAAGATGAGCTGCAGAAAAGCCATTCGTGTGAGTAAAATGAGGAACTTGAGACACATGCTGTTCAAACGTTGTATTACAAACACTGTTCCCTTTTTCAGCCTTCAAAGAGTGTCAGCAATCTCTGTCCAGCTTAAGAAATGAACTGGAGAAACATCAGTCCTGTAAGTAAACTGCCACTGTTTAACTGAATGTGTGTGAGCAGGTTTGATTGGATCATAATCTATTCAGCTGACCTGCCATGAACTCAGCGAACCCATTCACATCAAGAGATTGATGAGATTCATTTATCAGAGGTGGATGTGATTTTGTGAGTTTTCGGGTAGCCTAAGCAGCACTGACCTCAATCAAACTTTGCTCCATGAAAACTATTCATGATTCTCACAAAAAGCTCTGTGCAAAGATGGACAAAAAACAAGCAGAGCTCCAAATTACCCTGGCGAAAATTGAGCTGTCACTGTCAACACTAGCGGAGTGAGTGGATGAGGTGGAGACTCATGAAAGAACCAATGAAGACAACTGAGATGGTTACATGGTTAACTATGTAGAGTGTCTCATCCGTCATTGGTTTTATTAAACTACAGGGACATAAAGAGCTCCGTTTGGTCAGAGAAAACACCCCGGTCTTCATGGATCAACCACATTTCCTTCTGTCCTGACTACATTGTCAAGATAAGGTGAAGATGAAGCTACTCTAGAAGAACATTGTATATGCCAACTGTTGACTAGTAAAACTTAGAGTGCAGCACCAAGGAACCTACAGACTCCTCTCATCACCTGTGGAGGTGGAGAGTTTTCTGTCCACCCTGGAGAAGTAAGATGAAGCATCGTGCATGTAAAGTCCTACTGTTTGCTTTACGAATAGCCTACTGCTGGATAGAACCTGGCATCAAGATGGTTACATCATATAAAGTACAGCATGTTTAACTGTGCACAATTTTAACTCTCCAATTATTATACATTTGAGGCCCTATATGACAACAGGGAGCCATCATAGTTTCCTTGGAGACCACTTGGGCTACTGAAATGTCCATATACGGGCATTTACAGACTTTGTAATGTGTTTACTCTTATCCAGTACGGAATAATTGTCAGTTTTATTCACTCGGTCACACACGGACTATTGGCTATGGGGCAAACTTCTCCTTAGACAAAACACAACACAGTGTAATATAATTATAATTAATTTCTGGTGTTCAAACCTATAAGCAAAAGCAGTGAGAGAAGAGCAAAGAATACTCTGAATACACTGTCTTTTCAATATACTATAGAAGGTACATTATAGTCATAGAGACATTGGATATAAAGGATTTAATTACAGTTGTTATATTTTGCAGTGCTTGAAACCAGGGCCCATGAGATAACTGAAGAAATAAACAAGCAGAAGCGAAGACTGCAGGTCATAGGTGAGTAGAAGTCTGTTCTATTGAATCTAGGAGGCTGCCACAAAACTAATAGAATATAATGAAGTTAAGTAAGTCTGGGTTGATTCTGGTTTGGGCCCAGTTGGAGACCCAGTTTAAATTTGGTTTGGGCTTTAGGCTCCCAGTTTAGTCTCACTTCAGTGTCTGTATCATCTGTATTTTCAGATAACTACGCGTCTGAAGGTTGGGTGTATTTCCAAGGCAGTGTGTACCTGGGCTCCATCACAGAGCAGAGCTGGGAGCAGAGCCGTCAGTACTGTCAGGAGAGAGGAGCAGATCTCATCATCATCAAAAGTGACCAAGAGCAGGTCTGGAGCTAAACACCACACTGTTCCCACAAAAGAATGTCACAATATAAAATGTTTGTGTTACAATTATTGCAAGAAGATTGAGCTTGATGCTAATGCTAACTTCTATTCAAATGTCAAATCTAACAATAAACAAAAAAACTAAATAAAATACCTTATGTGGTAAGGACGGCCTGATTATTTTTCTGTGTAGATATTTTATTATTGTTTTTGGTGTTTGATATGTACGAGTCTCAGATATTAATTAGCAGTGAGACACAATGATCGACCTTTCTAAACACAAGTGCTCCCTGGTGAAGTATTCACATGTTGTCAGTGATCTGCACCCACAGCTCCTGGTCCTCTGTGTGACCTGTCAGTATTTACTGATTGGCACAATCCAGAGACTGGAGCTAACTGGTACTGTTGTGCACAGAGCCTTTTGTATCAAAACACACACTCCAGTTTGGTGTGTGAGTCCCAAGGGGTATTTCATCAAAGTGGCTTCACAAATCCAAGCTTATCACAAATCCTGAGCTGAAACTAGCTCCATCTTCATCTTAAGTCTCAAGTCGTTCCATGACAGAAATAAGCCTGGGTCTAACCAAGGCTAATTCAGGTCTGAAGTTTAAGCTGTACTTTGTGCACTCGTGGTAACTCTGGGAAGGTCAGATCAATGGAGCAACAACATCATGGAAAATGGGACAAAAATTTTGTGTTTTTTATGATCTGACTAAACAAAAGAGGAGCCACAGTACGCACCGGCAGAGTTTGATTTGAGCCACAGAACTTTTCCGGTCATTCTGATCTGAGTTCACTTCCTCTCCTCTCCCAGTCGCTCAGCGGGTAGAGAGGAGGCTGGCTGTGTAGTGGAGAGCTGGTTAATATGCCCGGGAATGATGTTTCTCTGGGCTTTGATAAACCTGGATTGCCCAAGCAAGCTAAAGCGAAAGCCTGTCTTATTTGGGCAATCCAGGCTTATCAAAGCCTCAATTTCGTTCCACCAAAGTGACTGACCAGAGGTGACCTGAGTTGCCGCAGTAACAAGCACCCACAAACCTGGTCAGGACCAGGCTAACTGTTAAGATTATTTTAGCTCTGTCTCCAAGAACATCTAAAGAAACAGTTTAGTCAAAGGTTTCAGCACGTGCATCACACACCTGTGTTAGAAACACCTGTCTGTGTGTGATTCAGGTGAAAAAGTGACTTTTATATCATATGTCTCTTGAGACTTTTACACTCATATGCTCCAACACATGGGACACACAAACCATATAAAAGCCCATGGCTATTATTTCATTCTAATGATGCTGCACATGTGTGTGTTGTGAGGGGCAGTGCAGCTTTTACACACACACAGACACCGGTTTGGACTCTGTGGATGACTGTGGATTCTGTCTGTTCACTCCTTCATCACGTCTGTCTCTCTCTCTCTTCATTCCCTTGTCTCTCACTCCATGTCAAACTGCAAACACATCGATGCAGACTTTATTGTTTCTTCTAATCTGCATGTGAAGAGTTCTGTTACAGCTTCACTTTTACGCACAACGGAACTTAAGTTCCACATGTGCTACTGCGTACAGATCAGAATGACCGGAAAAGTTCTGTGGCCCAAATCAAATTCTCATTAAAGAAATAACATTTTTGGCCCATTTTCCGTGATGTTGTTGCTCCATTATTCTGGCCTTCCCAAAGTCACCGTGAGTGTGGACAAACTGCAGCTTAAACTTCAGGCCTGAGTGAGCTTTGGTCAGACCCAGGCTTATTTCCGTCATGGAACGACTTAAGGCTTAAGATAAAGATGGAGCTAGATCCAGCTCAGAATTTCAGGATAAGCCTGGATTTGTTAAGACAGTTTGATGGAATACTCCCCCAGGCTTTCACTTTAGCTCGCTTCATGGTATACCCTCCCAGAGAAACGTGTGCTATTGAGGGTAAATGCTTGTTTCTCACAGCTGACAACTTCAGATCCCTGAACGTGGCTTTAACTGTTTCTACAGACATTTGCGAGTACATTCACCGGGCACCGATGGATTGGACTGACTGCAACCCAGTCCGAACCTAGACAGTGGAGATGGGTGGACGGATCTCAGCTCAACACAAGGTTCACAAAGCAACATTTTAAACCAACACTGAGTTTTAGAAGTGCTTTTCAGCTCTTATTTAATTACTTTTTTGCAGGTTTTGGGCCAGTGGAGAGCCAAATAACAAATATAATGAGTACTGTACTGAAACTAAGACCAAAAACACCGGGAAGGGCTGGAATGACCTGAAATGTTCTGAAAAACGTCCGTGTATCTGCCAAAAGAGGCCGACATTTTAAGTCTCATATCAATATTTACTCATACATAAAATAACATATCCACATTGTGTGTGTTTCATCACAGTGGTAGTGGTAGTAGTAGTAGCACTGGAGGCAAAAAAAAAAAAAAAAAAAAAAGCAAAAGTATCAAATTAAAAAATATACAACAGATTTATACAGGTTTATATTGTGGGTGGTGGTCAAAATGAAACAGAGACAAAAAATGTTTCTTTTATTACAAAAAGTATAGAAATGTCAAATAAATGAATGTTAAAAAAATAAATGTTTGGTTTAGTTCTATGTGATACAATAGTGTTAAACCAACAGTCCATAATAGTGTTAAATGGACATGATGTGTTTGTGTAGGACCAAGACCCTGGACAACAGATCCCCACATGAACTGAATTCAGTCTGCGGGAACCACAGTGTCACAATAAAATCTCTCGTACAAGCTCTGGACAGAGACTGTAGGGCTGATTTGCAATAGAGCGCAGTGACTTTTAGGGAAGGCAAGCAGACTTGGGGTGGATATTAATATTTAGCCGCTAACAATTTAATAACACTACTTTTTAGGCATACCACATTGCAAATGAGTATTTATTTTACTTACAGTTTAAATGCATTTATATTAAACCAGTAAACTAAATTAGAGACCTAGACCTACATAGTGTATTCATATTTGTATATTGGACTGTATTTGAGTCTTTGTACAAACAGGGCTATTTGTTTCTTCACAGATTTGGACAATTCCTACACCTTATTTATCCAGCTGAGCCTTCAGTACTATTGTCCATCCATCCATCCATTTTCGTCCGCTTATCCGGGGCCGGGTCGCGGGGGGAGCAGCCTAAGCAGGGACTCCCAGACTTCCTTCACCCCAGACACGTCCTCCAGCTCCTCCGGGGGGACCCCGAGGCGTTCCCAGGCCAGCCGAGAGACATAGTCCCTCCAGCGTGTCCTGGGTCTTCCCCGGGGCCTCCTCCCGGCGGGACATGCCCGGAACACCTCCCGAGGGAGGCGCCCAGGAGGCATCCGGAACAGATGCCCGAGCCACCTCAACTGGCTCCTCTCGACGTGGAGGAGCAGCAGGCTCTACTCCGAGCTCCTCCCGTGTGACTGAGCTCCTCACCCTATCTCTAAGGGAGCGCCCAGCCACCCTGCGGAGGAAACTCATTTCGAGCGCTTGTATCCGCGATCTCGTCCTTTCGGTCACTACCCAGAGCTCATGACCATAGGTGAGAGTAGGAACGAAGACTGACCGGTAAATCGAGAGCTTCGCCTTTCGACTCAGCTCCCTCTTCACCACAACGGTCCGATACAGCGACCGCATCACTGCCGAAGCTGCACCGATCCGCCTGTCAATCTCACGTTCCGTCCTTCCCTCACTCGTGAACAAGACCCCGAGATACTTGAACTCCTCCACTTGAGGCAAAGACTCCCCACCCACCCGGAGAGGGCAAGCCACCTTTTTCCGGTCGAGAACCATGGCCTCGGACTTGGAAGAGCTGATCTTCATCCCAGCCGCTTCACACTCGGCTGCAAACCGCCCCAGTGCACATTGCAGGTCCTGGTTCGATGAAGCCAACAGGACAACATCGTCCGCAAACAGCAGAGATGAAATCCTGTGGTCCCCAAACCGGACCCCCTCCGGCCCCTGACTGCGCCTAGAAATTCTGTCCATAAATACAATGAACAGAACCGGTGACAAAGGGCAGCCCTGGCGGAGTCCAACATGCACCGGGAACAGGTCTGACTTACTGCCGGCAATGCGAACACAGCTCCTGCTCCGGTCATACAGGGACCGGACAGCCCTTAGCAAAGGGCCCCGGACCCCATACTCCCAGAGCACCCCCCACAGGACACCCACGAGGGACACGGTCGAATGCCTTCTCCAGATCCACAAAACACATGTGGACTGGTTGGGCAAACTCCCATGAACCCTCGAGCACCCTATGGAGAGTGTAGAGCTGGTCCAGTGTTCCACGGCCAGGACGAAAACCACACTGCTCCTCCTGAATCCGAGGTTCGACTATCGGCCGGATTCTCCTCTCCAGTACCCTGGCATAGACCTTACCGGGAAGGCTGAGAAGTGTGATCCCCCTATAGTTGGAACACACCCTCCGGTCCCCCTTCTTATACAGAGGGACCACCACCCCGGTTTGCCAGTCCAGAGGTACTGTCCCCGACCGCCACGCGATGTTGAAGAGGCGTGTCAGCCAAGACAGCCCCACAACATCCAGAGACTTCAGGTACTCAGGACGGATCTCATCCAACCCCGGAGCCTTGCCACCAAGGAGCTTGCCAACCACCTCAGTGACTTCGGCCAGGGTGATGGATGAGTCCGCCTCTGAGTCCCCAGCCTCGGCCTCCTCCTCGGAGGACGTGACGGTGGGATTGAGGAGATCCTCAAAGTATTCCTTCCACCGCCGGACAACGTCCCCAGTCGAGGTCAACAGCTCTCCCCCCGCACTGTAAACAGTGTTGGTGAAGAACTGCTTTCCCCTCCTGAGGCGCCGGACGGTTTGCCAGAATCTCTTTGAGGCCGTCCGATAGTCCTTCTCCATGGCCTCCCCGAACTCCTCCCAGCTCCGAGTTTTTGCCTCCGCGACCACACGGGCTGCAGTACGCTTGGCCCGCCGGTACCCGTCAGCTGCCTCAGGAGTCCCCCGAGCCAGCAAGGCCCGATAGGACTCCTTCTTCAGCTTGACAGCATCCCTTACTTCCGGTGTCCACCACCGGGTTCTGGGGTTGCCGCCGCGACAGGCACCACAGACCTTACGCCCACAGCTCCGAGCAGCTGCATTGACAATAGAGGCCGAGAATGAAGCCCACTCGGACTCCATATCTCCAGCCTCCCCCGGAATCCGGGAGAAGTCCTCCCGGAGGTGCGAGTTGAAGGTCCCTCTGACAGAGGGCTCCGCCAGACGTTCCCAACAGACCCTCACTACACGCTTGGGTCTGCCAGGTCTTTCCGGCTTCCTCCTCCGCCAGCGAACCCAACTCACGACCAGGTGGTGATCAGTTGACAGCTCAGCCCCTCTCTTCACCCGAGTGTCCAAGACACGCGGCCGGAGATCAGATGACACGACGACAAAGTCGATCATCGACCTCCGGCCTAGGGTGTCCTGGTGCCACGTGCACTTATGGACACCCTTGTGCTCGAACATGGTGTTTGTTATGGACAAACTGTGACTAGCACAGAAGTCCAATAACAAAACACCACTCGGGTTCAGATCGGGGAGGCCGTTCCTCCCAATCACCCCTCTCCAAGTGTCACTGTCGTTGCCCACGTGGGCGTTGAAGTCCCCCAGGAGAACAACGGAGTCCCCGGTCGGTGCACTGTCTAGTACCCCTCCCAAGGACTCCAAGAAGGCCGGGTACTCAGCACTGCTGTTCGGCCCGTAGGCCGACACCACAGTGAGAGACCTGTCCCCGACCCGAAGGCGCAGGGACGCGACCCTCTCGTTCACCGGGGTGAACTCCAACACACAGCGGCTGAGCTGTGGGGCAATGAGCAGGCCCACACCAGCCCGCCGCCGCTCCCCGCGGCCAACGCCAGAGAAATGGAGAGTCCAGCCCCTCTCAAGGAGTTGGGTTCCAGAGCCCAAACTGTGCGTGGAGGTGAGGCCGACTATATCTAGTCGGTAACGCTCAACCTCCCGCACAAGCTCAGGCTCCTTCCCCCCCAGCGAGGTGACATTCCATGTCCCCAGAGCTAGTCTCCATGTCCGGAGATCCGGTCGCCGAGGCCCCCGCCGTCGACTGCTGCCCAGATCTCTCTGCACCGGCCCCATATGGATCCTCCTGCGGGTGGTGGGCCCACGTGAGGACGGCCCCACGTCGCTCCTTCGGGCTGAGCCCGGCCGAGCCCCGTGGGGGGAGGCTCGGCCACCAGGCGCTCGCTGGCGAGCACCCACCCCAGGCCTGGCTCCAGGGTGAGGCCCCGGTGACGCCAATCCGGGCGACGTAACTGGCCTTGCTCGTACACTCATCATAGGGGCTTCTGAACCGTTCTTAATGTAATTAGGCCCGAGCGCCAGAGGCTGGTGAAGGGCCTATTAGTATTGCAAAGCGATGCTCCTAGTGGCCAGTGTTATGTGCTGTGCCCCTTTGCGCATCTCTATCGTATGTATTTTTGTATTTATGTAGGTTTTGTGGTGTGGCTTGTCCGGGTAATAAATAGGTCGCCTATCTGTGGCGCACTCTCTTACTCCTGCGCTCTCGCTACACACCACCTCGCCCTTCGCACACCTGGGCGCGCGCTCGTCGCCTTGAGTGACCCCTTGTCTTGGTTGCTCGCCGCAGGCCTCACCATGCCTGTTAGCTGCAGTTAGTCTTTTGTGTTTGACCTGGTGGAAGCGGCTGTCCTGTTTTCGCCGTTTGTTTGGTAAGGTTAGTTTGGGGACGTCTTTTTTCCTTTAGGTTAGCAATGTTGGTACCGGCTTCTACAGCCCTGTATGGGGTTGGCCTGGTGCCGTGTCATTTGGTTCTGTTTGGCCAGCTCACCAGGTCCACCTTTCAGTCATTAGTTTGTTTTTGGGCGTGGGAGGGGTTTTAGCGTTTTTTAAGTAAATAAAAATGTACTGAGAGCTCTACACATGTGCAATGCACTACACAAAATGTACATTCATGAAGATCATGAAGAGATACTAACAACAACAGTGCACTCATCACACAGGTGCCCTTATAACACAACCTAACTCAGGGGTCAGGAAAGTATGGCTCGTGAGCCAGGTGTGGCTCTTTTGATGATCGCATCTGGCTCGTAGATAAAGCATAAAATATTCTCACTTGTTTTAGGCTACACTTACACATAGCCGGGTATTTTGAGAAACAAATATTTCCCTCCCTCCGTTTTCGGGCACACAACATCTTTTTCAAAAAAGTTTTGTTTACATCGACCCGCATAAATACGCCATCGAGCGCCGTCATGACTACACCGAGCCTCTGGGCGCAGCTGGATTAGATTCAAACCTGTAGCATTTATTTCATTACAATTGTATGGATTACTCAAAAATACCTTGAAAAACGTGCATTAGTGAGTGGCTCGCCTCTTCACAAATATGTTAAAGAAGTGGCAAAATCACTGACCTCCGAGCCCTTGTTCATCCC